GATAAGGTTTCGTGATGAAGTTGGACTGATAATTGATATGCCAACATCTGGTGGCTCTGGGTCTTCAAATAATGGAAACACTGCTAGAAAATTTTTTCAGAATGCAGAGAAGTCTGCTCAAATTCTTGAACTTGATGTCAGTATGATAAAGATGTTGCATGTGATTTTGTGTACATTGTCATCTAACTTTCAAATTGATTCTTCACTATTTAGAGAATACTGCTACAAAACAGCTGAGAAGTATGTAATCCTTTATCCATGGTATCATATGCCACAGAGTCTGCATCACATTCTTATTCATGGTTGGCAAGTTGTAGAGAGAATGGCTTTGCCTATTGGCATGCTCAGCGAAGAGGCACAAGAAGCTCAAAATAAAAATTTTAAGAAATTTCGAGAATCATTTTCTAGAAAGTGTTCGCGTTCCAAAACAAACGAAGATTTATTAAGGCGACTAATGTGTTCTTCTGACCCTTTGATAAGTAGTTTGAGAAAACCCCATCATCCTAAAAAAAACGCTCTTCCAAATGGAGTTTTTGATCTTCTTAAAAAGGTTCCAATTTTTGACTAAGTGTCAATGACATAGTTTTGATTTTCGTTGGTGTTTAAGATGGTGTTTACTTTATAAGTATTTAATATTTACATAATAAAATAATGAATATAAAAGTTTGTTTTCTTATATATTCGTTATAAAATTTTTTGTATCTCTAATTGCATAAAAACTTGCTTATTTTTATATGGTTGCTAAGGGTATCTAAACTACACAGTTAAAATTTAATTAACTGTTCCTGTAAACCTTTATAGTTAAGAGTGTTTTAAAAGTTTTTATTTCATTTTTTAAAGAAATTTTGAATTAAGAAAAAGTTTCAAAAAAAATTACGAACTGGTTTCTAAGAGCACATAACAGCATAGTAACACCAAAAATTGATAATTTTTTGTTTTTGTTATCATTCAAATACATAAAATAGCAATGTAGCATTAATATCAGTTTAGTTTATAACTTTGATATTTTGAGAAAGTCTTTTTATTTAGGTAACTATGAAAAATGCCTGTTGACATGAAATATAGGTATCCATGGCAACCAAATAAACAATCTAATGGTGCCATTAGATTTGTTATATGAAATATACTCAAGCTGCTAATAATGGGAAAAACCTGATAAATATTTTAAAAGTTATTAATTTTGTCCAGCTAATAATGATTTTGGCCCACTGTGCATCGTTGGGGAAAAATAAACTTTCGTTATGAAACGAAAACAATGGCATAACATAAAAGTCTTTAAAATGCACAAGGGTTGTTGTGTCTTTAAGTGATTTTTGATACATAGATATACGTGTAAATATAAATAATATATTAATTATATATATATAATATATATATATATATATATATATATATATATATATATATATATATATATATACATACATATATTTATATATATATATATATATATATATATATATATATATATATATATATATATATATATATATATATATATATAAGTTTTCTAAATATATATGTTTTGTAAATATGTTTTTTCAAAATATTCATAATTCGATATTTCTTTTTTTAAACTCTTTAAACCACTTTTTCGTAATAATTGTCCTGCTTTATTAACTCAACTGATCATTTGTTTTCCCCCATCCAAGATGGTAACAACTTGCGCTATTGTTATTTTGCGTAACCACGTGACTATCCGACATTTGTTTATTTATTTGATAATTTTTATTTAATAATTTTTTTTTAAACTTCAGATAAATATGTTCTTTATGTATGATATTTTTCTGGTCAATGCTTCAACTTTTTTTCTATATAAAAATTTGTTTTTACTGTTATGACTATTTCCTTATATATCAAAGTGCAATTTCATTAATTATTTTGTTAATTACTATTTTTCTGACTATATATATATATATATATATATATATATATATATATATATATATATATATATATATATATATATATATATATATATTAGGTATGTGGATTGGAAATTTTAAATTGATCAAAAGTTAGATTGTATTATATATCATTGGAAAGTGCTTCAATACAGTATTTTAAAGGTGAAAAAAATTATTAAAATCGGACTATTCTACAAAAAGTTATGACGTTTTTAGTCGCAAATTTTTGATATATGGATTTGTTGAAGAAACTGTGGTCAAAATTTAATTTTTCTTCACTTAATTTGTTATAAATTTGTCAATTTGTTATAAATTTGTCAATTCTTATCTAAATACCTATAACTTAGTATCAAAAGATAGGTGTAACTGTGGGCTACAAATTTATAACATCGTCCACCTATTAGGCGTTTCCTGGGGGCTAGAGGGGGTGCCGAACCACCACCTTTACCCTAAAAATTAGCACATTTTTTCAATAAAAAGTGTTTTTTTTTCAACAAACGGGTATTTTTTTTATACAAAAAGTTGCTATAATTTTATTCCAGACCAATGATTGATGTTTATTAAACTTGGTGGTGGATGTGGTGGTGATGGTTTAACACACCCTAATTTCAAAAAAAGTTAATTCTCTAATTATAAATATATAAATACTTCTATATTTAATAAAATAAGTGAAACTAGTACACAGTATAAAAAAACATGAAATTTTTTTTGTTACAAGAATTTCATTTATTGGTGGTGTGTTTATTGACTTGTGGGAGGGGCGCGTACCCCCCCCCCCCCCAACCTAAAAAAATAAATAAGTAAAATAAATAAATCTTTATAATAACAATTATAATTATTTTAAAATAAGTTTACAATTTAAAACCTGAATTAGGCTTTTGGCACCAAGTATAATCTACAAGCTAAAGATAAAGACCACAACCGAGCCTACTTTTGAAAAAAAAGTCTTTTCGCTGCTATTCGTAAATTTTGGTTAAGTTGAGAAGTTTGTTGAATTGGGTGGTAATGGTTACCCACAACCAACAATAAAAAGATGTTGAATTCTTAAAAATAATTGTATCTTTAACAAACAAAATAAATTAGTATATTTCATTTTTTGATATTTCATTAAATATTTTTTATTTCATTACCAAAAATATCAGTGTTGTATCCTATAAAAAAAATGTAACAATCAATTTTATATTGTTCTGTATTAAAACATTTTAGATATCCTAAGATTAAATAGTTTTCTTGGCTTTTAGTAAATAATTAAAATAATCAATTTCATCAATGGAACACTATAATAATCATTTGTAACAATAGACACCATGTGAAGATAAGCCAGAGCCGCTTATCAAAATATTTAGGAAGTCACAACACTTGTGCAAAGGTCATTCCAAGTCAAATACTTTTATTCTTTTCTAAAAACATTTATAAAAAAAAGTAAAACAAAAACATATGGTTTAATATCAGGCATACCTGACTTGATATGACTATTTCTTCAAGTTTTATTACTTGCAATACCTTTATACAAGTTTCATCATATGCCGTATCTGTTTTATAAGTTTCATCACTTGCAGTATCTATTTTTAAAGCTTCGTTACAAGTAATATAATAATTTGTTACATATTACACTACAAAAAAAAATCAACTCTCCTGGTCCAACATCAGCGGAAGCTGAAATTTTTCATGTTGTAATCAACAGTTTTAGTATCAGTATTAGCTTTATTCCAGTAAGAAATCGTGTAAACTTTGTCTTGTTTTGTTTTATCAAGTTTTTCTTCTCTACCATCATACATGACATACTTCGAATACTCACTTAGTACCATTCATGACAAAGTTTTTGCCCAACAATTCTATCTGACATTACATCATCTTAGTCATGACATTACATCATCTTAGTCATGAAGTTGTTTGATAGACGATGTATTTAAACACTTTATTTCAAGCAACTGTCATTTTGACTTTCCTTTGTCTTTTTCATCCATTTTTTGGGATATGCATAAATGTTTTTTTGAAATATCTGCTCATATATCATTATGTTTCATTTGATTTATCATCCTCTTTTTATGGGTTTCTGAATAGACCACATAACTATATTTTTATGGGTTTCTGAATAGACCACATAACTATATTTTTATGGGTTTCTGAATAGACCACATAACTATATTATTTATTTTTAAATATTCCTTATTTATTAGTCTTATTTATTTTTAAATATTCCTCTATTAATCTTGATTTTTGTCTTGACAACTGTCAAAATATGCTGCGTCTAATAAATAATTCTCCTTTATTCTAATGTATTTTATTTCTTCCCTCGGGCGTTCACTGCTCGTATGTGGCCATTTGGCGAATTTTATATGCCAAAGTTTTTAAATAGTAACTATATTTTCTCTTGATAATTGATCTAAACTATCTAGGTATTTTAATTTGTATGAAACATAACAAATTGTTACATTAGGGGATCTTTCTTCAGCCTCACTAAACATTCCCATTAACTCTTCACTATTTATATCGTGAAGCCTTGCACATGCTACTTCCTCCTTGAGAGTCTGGTTAATAGAAAGTGAGAAATACCTCTTAAATTGATGAGTTATGATGTCTCCCACTGCAATAAGACAAGCAAAAGTCATATTGATAAAGTGTTCATCAATCAAACAAAACATTTTTTATTGGATCTAAAATATTTGGTTCAAGGTCATTTTAAAAAGTCAACCTGGATTTGATTTAGAATCTGCAATTTTTAGTAAAATATTTTTTAATACCAGGATTCCACTATAATGGTCAAAATTTGCCTCCTCGACAGTCACACAAAACTTTGTCATCAAGGCTGGAAACTGGATGACAAAGTTTTATGTGACTTTGAGGTGGTTTTCCAAATAATGCAAGCACACACTTTTGCTTTAGAGCTGTTTTGTTACAAAATACTGCTCTAAGAACTGTTTGTATAGTTCTGCATATTACTGTTCCAATGGTTCAAAAATGCTCAAACTTATTAAATATTTTATAAAAATAAAACAAGTATGAAAAAAAATATGAAGACGATTTCCTTGATACCTTGGAATGATACCTCGTGGTAGTTTTTGGTCAGCTAAAAACTAACAAATCTTTCTGAATCACCTTTGCCATGTTTAAACCTCAACTTGTTCATAGCCAAAACTATTTTAAATGCCATACAATCATACACAGCCATGAGGTAGCAATTATATCAAGAGCGTGTAAATGGCAGTTTAGCTTATTCAAACTTTCCTCTTATATGTCACACAGTTTGCTTATGGTAAGATGGTTAATTGCAACTTTGCCTGACATTGCGTTTGATATATTTGAGATGATCGATTGATCACTATCATTAAAAGATGCTAAATGAAAACCTAAATAAAAGCTAGATGATCAACTGCTTTACATATATGCAAGCAAATATTCGTAACTAGCTATCAGCATTTTATTTGCCTTAATATCTTTATTATGTACAACTTTAACTTATTTTATCTTTAAAAGTTCTGAAATTTTCATTGCCTTTTTTTTAAGCTTTAAGATTGCGTATTATCTTACTGTAATAATATGTTTGCAACTTTTGTTTAAGATCTCTAAGTTCAGCTATCAAAACTTTAACAATTTGTTTTTTTTATGCAACTTTTTGTCTCAGTACTTTCAACTTGTATGCCATGCTTTTTAATTTTGCCGTCACTATTAATAACTTTTTTTAATACATGCTGGATGTAACAGCAAGCTGAGAAGTTAAATAAGACAATCTGGTATTCAAACCTTTTTTTTCTAGGGCTTTTTTCTCCTCTTGATTCATGCCAATTCATTGTTAACAGAATGTTTGGAAAATAAAGGCTTTTGATTTAGTGGTGATAAATTACTTATGTGCTCAAGTGGTGAATTATCTATTCTACTTAAAACAGTAGTAAGAGACTACTTGGAGTAGGACATGATGATAGAAAGACGGGCAAGATTTGCGCAATGCATATACAGGGTTCATTACAAAATTCCTTAAAATGATTACTATCCCTTGTAAAGTTGCAAAACCAACTTTTGCATCTTTTCAAAACCCTAAAGATTTGTGGTTTACAAATATTTAAACTAAATAATAGTTATAACAAATGACTTAACACTGTTTATAAATAAAAAAGGTACATGTCTATTTTTACAACAACTGTAAGTTTTGGCAGGTAAAAAGAAGTGTGTATCTAAATACTCTTTAACTGTAATACGAACAAAAAATATAGTTGCTTTATGTGCTCATTGGCGGGGCACAAAAAGCAACTTTATTTACAAAAAAAAATGTAAGGAAAGTCTTGTATAACTACCGAATAATAATATAGCATTAAATTATAAACAATATTATACTTTTATTATTAAAAATATTTTTAATAGTACTGTATTATTACGTAATTAAAAAATACTATTTATACACACAGACAAAAATGCCAATTTATACTGACATCATAAAACATGTGATAATATAAAGAAAATTTAAAAGGTACATTGCAAATGTTTACATAAAAAGGAAAAACTGTTTTTAAAATACCATGCATACCTATAGCTAGAATTATAGTAATCAACGCTTATGTTTTCAATTTTAATAAACCAATAAAATTTTAGAAACTATAAACAAGTCACACTAAAATAAATAGTAATTTTCACTTTTAAAATAAAATAAACTAGTAGAAATATACAAACTAATATTAATTAATATAAAAAATCTAATAAACTACTGAAAAAAAAAAGAAAAAGAAAAAAATATTTTATTGGCATTCTATATCTAATTGTATTAATATATATATATATATATATATATATATATATATATATATATATATATATTATATATATATATATATATATATATATATATATATATATATATATATATATATATTAATTATATATATAATATATATATATAAATATTTATTTTTTGCAGTAATTACATTTTTTATATTAATTAATATTAGTTTGTATATTTTCACTAATTTATTTTATTTAAAAAAAAAATACATACATATATATATATATATATATATATATATATATATATATATATATATATATATATATATATATATATATATATATATATATATATATATATATTGTAACAAAAATAATAAAAGTAAAAAACACTTCAATATTAGGAATAAGTCATAACAGTAAAAGTAAATTTTTATATCGAAATAAAGTTGAAGCGATGACAAGAAAAATATCATCAATATAAAACATATTTATCTCAAGTTAATTATAGTTAATTAAAAAATATTATTATCTACAGGTATACGTACCGCAAAAACAACCGTACCGCAAAAACCACAATGTTGGCTTAAGTGACCTAGCATGTAAAAAAAATTCATGGATTCAAAAAACTTGATATATTATGATAGCTAATATGTCAGCATATAAATTAAAGCATTTTTAGTGGTTTTTTTATTTGTTAAATATGTTGGTATCTGCACTAGAGTAAAAATTTCAATTATAAAAACGTGTAGTTTTTTTTGTTTTGTGGAGCCTAGAAGCCGTATCAGAGAATAAGATAGCAAAATATAGTTTTTCTATTACCTATGGATTATAACTAGATACTGAAAAAAGTTTTTTTTTCTCAAGTAGTTATAAATCTTTATAACACCCTCATAAAGAAAAGAATTATTATTGTTGTTTTTGGGGTACATTTTATAGAATTCACTTTACAGACCATGTTTTGAAATAAAAAACAACAACAATAAATTACCATTGTATTAGATTTTTTTTAAAGAAAATAATATACATTTATCTTAAAAACAATATTTGAACGCAGCAGTAATAACACATCTAAAATGGCTGCAAACTTTATAACATTATTATAACAATAGGTTACTGCAACAATGTTAAGATAACATAGATAAATAAAATGTTAAGATAACATAGATAAATAAAATTCTTTAACTGATTACTTTAATCCAAAAAAAGATTACTGATTGTCGTTGCATTTGTTATAATGGTCGTATATCAGTCTTTTAGATGTGGAGAAGTGCTAGTTTGCTGGTAAAAGTATAACCGGTTTAACACCATCAACTCTGCAACTCACTTTGCTGCAAATTGAACGGAGAACATCAAGACAATTAGGACATTGCTTAAGGCCAAAAGCTTGACATTTCCTTTGTTTGCAAAAACATTCAACTTTACATTTAATAAACTTTTCTTTAGCTTCTTCTTTCTTTTTTTTGCCTTCCTCCTTTGCTGTTATCTTTCGTCGTTTCTCTTCTTTTATATCTTTCACTTTTGCTGCAACATCTCTTGTACGCATCGAACCATAGACCTGAGTAACACGAGTAGATATTTTTTCAAGGTTTGGTTTAATTTTCTTAATAGTTAGCAGATCAGGAATATTTTCTAATTGGAGGCTTTGCTCAGCCATTTCTCTAATCAAGATTTGAGACTGGTCAAACTTATCTTTCCAGTAACTTGCCGAACCTTTCCTTATACCAACTGGTGACGAAATGGTTGATTCAGGTTTTTTAAAAGAAGTTGACGCTGGTTCTTCTTTATGAATTCACGCAGCAGCTCGCTCAAATTTATCTTGTTGCATAAAGTTAAAATTTAATTCAAAAGGTGTTATTCCAACTCTTTTTGCACTAGAAACAAGAACCGATTTCGATGCCCATTTCTCCCATATAAGATGGTCATAAATCCCTCTCGATTAATTGATTGCATTGGGTTGAAAAGATAATTCTTGGCAATTCTGTACTCATGATGAAGATTTTTATTAACCTGGTCAAGCAACTGAGTTACACCAGTAGTGTCAGGAGGAGAAGTAAATACCAAACTTGTTTTGAAAGGAGGTATATTAAACCGTCATAACTGAATCGTGAACTATGTCCATCAGATAATAAAACAACAGTTCGTTCAATTGCCTTCTCAGTAAGGTAATCATCAAACTCTTGGCAAGCCGCCTTAAAAGTGTCATTATCTGAAATCCCATTTCAGTGACTGATTTTTTCTACAGCTACTTGTGGTGTCATCTGGCTTGTTATTCCAACCGAGGAAAAAATGACTTGACATATACAAACATCACCTGAAAAAGATACAAAAGGGTGAATTGAAACACATTCCCTGTTTTCTTTATGCATTTTTAAGCATTGTTCACCTTTCCCTGCATATACCAAGCCTGTTGAAGTACCATCAACACCATAGTTCACAAATTGCGGTGTCTCGTCATCATTAAATATTCTTGTTGTGTCAATGTCACCCTTCCATACAAACTCGTCTACTTTTTCAGCATTTTTCATAATACCGGCTGCCTGAAGTTCCATTGCAAGATCATTCAAATGATTACAAGCCATTTCTCGGGTACAGTTAAGTGCTCTGTTTATTGATACCTGACCCTGGCGTTTAATTGGTAGGCTTGAATGCTTTGCATGGAATCGTGTCCAAAATGAACGACTAAGTCTGAAACAATAAAAAATGGTCTAAAATATTCTATAGAAATAACCCTAAACATTTGACTTGCACTTACAAATGATCAACATTCACTGCTATATATATATTATATATATATATATATATATATATATATATATATATATATATATATATATATATATATATATATAAAGCAAGGCTACAAATATTACTATTGAGTAATTTTGATTATGTTAATTTCATTTTTTCTTTAGATCAAACATGAACAAAAAATCAACAAAAAATCATTAGACTTACTTTCCATTAACCAGAGCTGGTTTTGCATTAGGAGACAACTTAATCAACTTCCGACCTCCTTTGCATCTTTTATTCATGTAGTCCCTTATCCTTAAAATATCAAGGAGTTTGGTCAACTCTGTCTTGTTGATACCTTGCAGACTTCTATTCCTGTTCTTGACATACTTCACTACAGCCTCCTCCTCTTCAAGTGTAAAAATACTACAATAGCGACGTTCCTCGCCTAGAAAAAACCGAAGCTCTTTAGATATCTAACTAAATTAAATCATTATTCTGTAAAAAATTTATACTTACCATTTTTTATTATTCAGTCTAATCTTCTATTAATCGTTTCTCTATCTTTTACTAGTGGAAACAAACCAGTCTTCAAGGCCTTATAGCCTCGCACGCTGTGGTAGATACAAAATTGTACTGCCTTTTCTAATTGTAAATTCTTTGCATCTGTGAACTTCCTCCCAATTGATGCCTCAGGCTTACTTTTTCCACGAATAGATTGTAATTTTTCCTGTCTGAGCTGAAATTTTCGCTTCATTTTCTATGTTAATTTTTTTCTAACTCTAATTGATTAAAAAAATTATTGTTAAACATTTTAGAGCACATTAGTTGCTTACAGAACATATCTAAATACTAAAAAACAACTTTCAAGTAAAAATTTAGATTTTGCTCTAGGTTCAAACACAAAGTAAGTTTTAATAAATTCTTGCAACTATTATGTTCTAAAAATGATATTGATTTTTAATACAGAAAAAACACGATGCAAACTTTGTTTAAAACACTGCAATGACATCTTTAGAATCAAGAGGTTACATAGAATCAATATAGTAAAAAGCGAGAACACATGTATAGCCTATAAAATGTTATTTTTAAAACATCAATGTTAGCTGCAGAGATACAATCGATAAATTGAATGCGGTTTTTGGGGTACACATACAAAAAACAACAAAAGTTTAGTTAACATTATTAACAAAACTATTTCTTAAAAATTAGCTGGGAAGAACTGATTTTAAGCAACTCTAAATACATTCAAAACAGTTTTTCTCAAAAGCAAATAATAAAAAAGTTATTGAGATGTGCTTTTTTTGGTGTTTTTGCGGTACGTATACCTGTAATAAGGTTTTCCCAAAAAGAACATTTTTGAAAAATATATGCTTAATGCGTTTTATATAATAAGAAAAAACTGGTTTTTAAAAATTTTTGAAAAAAAAAATATTTTGATGACTCCCTCAAGACCCTTAGGAACTTGTTATGTTCCTTTTAGACCCCAAGGAACATAACAAGTTCCTAATATTAAAAAAAAATTATTTAAGTGTACCATGTTGGGTCTCAAATGAAGCAAAATTACATGAAAATTTCGATGTTAGATTTAACAACATAAAAAAATGAAGTTTATTATCTAAAAAAGAAAATAGTGCATTTTTACCAATTTTTTGCAATATTTTTTTTCAATAAGTTTTTTATAATATAATTATCATATTTGAAATATTGTTTTAGGACGAACTTATAAGTATGAAGTATTTATCATCAAAACGTAGTGTGAACAATTTTATTTTTATGCTCTAATAGGATTAAAAAATATTAGGTAACTTTAATAAAATTAATAATAAATAATAACATATAGCTAAATAAATTTTAAAATTTATCTTAGTAATAAATAAGCTGATGATAATACAGTGCACTTAGGGTTTCCATCATGTGTTGAATTGAATATTTAAAAAGCCACATAAAATCAAAACTGTTAACATTGTATTTTGATAATAAACACTTTTTATGTTAATTTTACTTGCAGAACCAGAAATCAGCTAAATTGCAAATATTTGTTTGCAATATTATATATATATATATATATATATATATATATATATATATATATATATATATATATATATATATATATATATATATATATATATATATATATATATATATATATTTAATTATTCACCTCTAC